GTTCAAAATTACAACAGCACTGAGGCAAGTGACTTACGACTGGTCCTCCCAATTACAACTGTCACAGCATCCCCATAATCATGTAATTAAAATTCTGGGGTTGGCCAGTGTATTTACAATGGTTGGAGGGTCACAGGGTCGTGTGGTCACCATCTGCAACCTTCCCAGCTAGCTTCCGACAAGCAAAGTCGATGGAAGAAACTGGATTTGCTTAAATGACTTCATGATTCACCTAACAACTACAGTGATTTGTTTAATAACCACAGAGGGAGGGGGAGGCATAAAATTGGGCATCACCACCTGCTTAGCAACTGAAATTCTGGTCCCATTTGTAACTGCTAAGTAGAGAATTACCTGTATATTGGATTAAGGCTGAATTAGACTGACGACTGTTCCTCACTGCCGACTTAAAAATCTTCACCAGGCATAAAATACGCTGTTCTCCATCAGCCTTCTTGGGGAGAGGTGGCTGTCAAAAAGTCAAGAGGACCATCCTGATAGCACAATTTACTTTTCTCTCTCTCTCACACCCCCCCAATATATTGCTGCTGCCCTCACTGGCGGTCTCTAGAGCCCTATCTTACCAAGACTTGAAGTTGGGAATGGTGCTGTCCTTCCTTCTAGAGCACCCGTCCCCAACCTTTTTTGAAACCAAGGGCTGGCTTCATGGAAGACAATTTTTCCATGGATTGGGGTGGTGGTGGTGGTTGTTTTGTGCTTTATCTAGACCTCACACAGGGACGCAATGGCTCAGTGGCTAAGACGCTGAGCTTGTCGATCAGAAAGGTCGGCAGTTCGGCGGTTCGAATCCCTAGCGCCGTGTAACGGAGTGAGCTCCTGTTACTTGTCCCAGCTTCTGCCAACCTAGCAGTTCGAAAGCGTGTAAAAATGCAAGTAGAAAAATAGGGACCACTTTGGTAACAGTATTCTGTGCACCTTCGTCATGCTGGCCACATGACCACGGAGATGTCTTTGGACAGCGCTGGCTCTTCAGCTCTGTAACGGAGATGAGCACCGCCCCCTAGAGCCGAAAATGACTAGCGTGAATGTGCGAGGGGAACCTTTACACACACAGGCACAGATGAAACTTTGTTCACATGTGCAGCCTAGTTCCTAACAGGATGCAGGCCTGCATAGTTCCACAGCTCGGAGGACCTCTGTTCTAGAGAACATTGCATATCAAAGGCAGGTTGATTCCCATGACCTCTCTCACCTTCACCGACCCAACTAACAGGAAAACACCCATCAATCACTTTTCTTAAGATAAACTGACATCTTTTAACGATTACTGAATTCAGTCCAAACACTTTGTTTGGTTTTGCATGGATACATCAAAGAGAACTCTCAGGAATATCAGCTTTTGGGCTTTTTTGAGATCATTCAATAATTAGGACATCAACAAATAAGACAAATCCCCCAAAATCAATAAGTAATCTTTATTGAAGAAAAGATGGTAAGCCATAACTAAAGAATTGTATTGACTGAAGTGCTTTTAAAAGAAATCTATAAAGAAACAATATAAAAAATATGTTTTTATGCTTCTTTCTTATTCTGCTCTATGTAACAAGACTCTCATTTTGAACAGGGGCCCTTGTTTCTATCAGTCCTTTGTTTCTGCAATGGTCAAATCTGTTATGATTTTTCACTGACAATATAAAAACAAACTTTCATTGGTATACTGGTTGAGCACTACTGGATTAGCAGTATCCTGAAACACCACTAAACTCAGTCCAAGTGACTGCACAAAATACAGGCACCAAACTAAAGGCATTCTTATACGCAATTTTGGTGCTATTTCAAAGTAGTGCTAAACCTATGCTCAAAAGCAGCTTAGATAAAAGTTGACAGGTTTGGGGAGAGTTGCATAATACAGGTGGTCCCCGACTTACAACAGTTCATTTAGCGACTGTTCAAAGTTACAACACTGAAAAAAGTGACTTAACGATCATTTTTCATACTTATGAACCTTGCAGCCTCCCCATGGTCACATGATCAAAATCCAGATGTTGGGCAACTGACTCATATTCATGAGGGTTGCAGTGTCCCGGGGTCATGTGATCCCCTTTTGCAACCTTCTGACATGCAAAGTCAATGGAGAAGCCAGATTCTGTTAACAACCGTGTTACTAACTTAACAACCGCAGCGATTCACTTAACAACTGTGGCAAGAAAGGTTGTAAAATGGGTCAAAATTCACTTAATATCTCACTTAGCAGCAGAAATGTTGGGATCAATTGTGGTCGTAAGTCGAGGACTACCTGTAATGCATCAGAGAGACAGAGCTGCAATGTGCAATGTTCATCCCGGTGTTGCTTGATGCTGTTTAGATTGATCCTTGTTTCTGAACTGAGGATTGGCTGAGAGATCTAACAGGTGAGGACAGAATGGGACTCTCCCACTGCCCAGAGGAGAATGACCTGGAAGACACATCAGGAGTGGAGGGGAAAGGACATGCCTGCATCAGCCTAATGTGGCTAATATAAGTAGTCCTTGACTTACAACCATAATTAGGACTTTCATCACTAAGTAAGGCAGATGTTAAGTGTTCCAATATCTCAAAGTTGCTTGGAAGGAGAAATCAGGCAATCATGGGAAGCATTTTTTATATATTATAGAAGCTAGTACAATGGATGTGTTGCTTCTGCTGAAGTATCGCTACAATAATTTGTACATAATTTCACCTAGGATAGTGGACACTGAGATGATTTTTGACGTTTCTTCATGTTAACTAGTCCAAAAGAGAAAAAAAAAAGAGCATTAGAAAGTAGGTAGAAACATATGGATTTATTTTGTAACACCTGAGACTTTGCTAAAAGCTGATTATTATGACTTTTTTTCCTGTAGGTCCCAATATTTAAGGAAATAAAAAATCTCCTTTATACTAGCTTTCAATAATAGTATCAGTTGATAATATCTGGAGATACACAATACACACTAAGTTGAAGAGGGAAGGGGGCATAACAAAAATGGAGAACTTGGCCTTTGTACCCATTGTTTATATCAAAGGTTTCTGATTTTCTGTTGTTGTTTTTTTAATGAAAGCTGAGAAAGTCTGACAAAATACAGACAGAAACCATTGTCATGCACTTACTATCTCCTACTGGTGCCTTTTGATCAGGCTGCTGAGATGGTGAGGAATGCATTCCGCTTTCTGGGCTATAATCAAAAGCATCATCAGCTGCTTGGTCTTCCGATTTCCTCTTTTTTGCAATAGGAGAGCTCGAATCTTCCTTCTTCCTAACAGATGTTAGAACATCTGGTGGAAACAGAAAAAAATAATCCAAGAGTAAACAGGGGCAGGGGGTTAATATACCTATATAATATATACAGCATAATACACCAAGCCAGGGGTGGGAACCTACCGGCCTAACAACCTGTGTGTGGCAAAGTGAGCGTGTGGCTTTGCCAACATTTGTCCATATTTTCTGCTCTGATTGAGAACAGCCTCAATAGAAACTTCTTGTATTGCTTGGACTACTGTTATTCACCTTCTCTGTTTCCCATTCTCTCTCTTGCCCTAGCTGCTGTTTTAATATAGTGTTTTAGGCTGCTTTGAAGGTTCTCTTGGTAGGAAGACAGAACTCGCATCTTTCAAACATATATGCTATCTTCAGAAAGAAGGAACTCGAGAATAGCAAAACAAATCAATACTTTTAGGAGCATGCATGTAAGGTTCCTTTCTGTTCCAACTGCATGGAATGTATCTCTCAGTTTAAAAACTTGGTCCTAAATGTAAATTTAAATATTGTCAGCTAAGCTCATACCTTCGAATTTCCACAAAGTACTTGTGACAACCTCATTTTGTCTTGTTTGATAAGCAAGCTGTTTTTCCATTTCAGGAAGAAGATCGTCTAACTCTTGAAACTTCTTTTGCTTTAACCTAAAATACGAAGGAAACATTTGTATATGCAGATCTGATGGATTATTTTAAGGTGAAAGAGGCCTATACAGACCGTTTGTATCATTTTTGCCCTGAAATATATCAGGAAGTCCTAAAGCATCAAAGGGTAAACTTGCTGCTTGGTCAAAAATATTATAGAGTATTTGGAGAGGGATGAATATTAGGTCAGGCCAAATACAGATCAGGAGCTGATTTTTAAGAAAAGTTAGTCGAGATAGACAGTTTTTGCCCTTGGATTTACACTCTAGTTTTCATTTGATTTTCCCATCTCAAAATGGCAGCCATCAATGTCATGCACTCCTGATCACAGGGGCCTTTGTGAACTGTGGAAAGGAGAGTTGTAGACTGCAGTGGTTCAGCTGCTTGCATTAACCACCTCACAACAGAATGTAACAGAGTTGGAAGGGATCATGAAGGTCTTCTAATCCAGCCCCTTGCTCAAACAGGCAACCCTATTCCATTTCAGACAAATGTTTGTCCAATCTCTTCTTAAAAACCTCCAGTGTTGGAACACCTCTGGAGGCAAGCCATTCCACTAGTTCAGCGATGGCTAACCTTTTCAGCTTGGTGTGTCGAAAATCGGGAAAAAGTGTAGACTTCCTCGGGTCGTGTGTCACTTCAAGAAATATCAATAATTTGGTTTATGACGGACTGGGCTGGGGTGATCACACAGGGCTGTGAAACTTGTCTCCCTGGTCTCAGGGCTGCAGGTGCAGGATGTGGGGATCGGAAGGCCACCTTACAGGGCTGTGAACCTCATGGATCTCCTTTCCTCCTGTAGCGTTCCTGAGGTAATGAAACTGACAAACCTCAGTTTATGGCGGTTAAAACTGGTTCTCTGCTGCAAGATCTTTGCAGCGGTGACACCACGCCTCCACGCAAAAAGCAGGGAGCAGGGATTGGAGCAGAGCACAGGCAGCCTCTAAATGTGCAGGTTTTCCCCACACCAACAGGCGTGTCAAAGTGCCTCGGCGTGTCACGAGTGACACGCGTGTCATAGGTTAGCCATCACTGCACTAGTTAATTGTTCTCACTGAGAGGAAATTTCTCCCTAGTTCTAGGTTGGTTCTCTCCTTGATCAGCTTCAGCAATAGGGGAGCAGCTCCATCTTATTATACTTAAGGAACAGAGCTTATAATGAGCTGATGGCCCCATTGTTTTGCTCCTCAGCCATAATTTTAGTTTCTATTTTATGCGTTTCTTAGATAATTCAGCATAAATCAGGTGACAAATACCTCACTGATGCAGTCTGCATCTCCTGGAAAGGAAAGATAAGAAGTATTTTAGCATTACGTAATACAGAGTCTACAACAAAATATCGCCACATGATTTGGAGCCTCTAGCTCTTTTCCAAGATACTCCATTTCCCCTCAGGATGTGGCTTCTCATTTCTCTTTTAACAGACCTTCAGCATGTGGTAGCTATTGAGCCTTCAAAGCCTCCTTTGATTTTGTTCTCACCTTCCCCGAAGCCAGTGCCTTCAAATTTGGCAGCTTTAAGATGGATGGACCTCAACTCAAAAATTTGGCAGCTTTAAGATGGATGGACCTCAACTCGTCAATGCTTGCTCAGGAATTCTAAGAGTTGAAGCTCACCCTTCTTAAAATTGCCAAGGCTGAGAAACACTGCCTTTCTTGTGCCCTTTCTTTTATGTGGATGATGCCATTTCAAAGACCAACGCCTATTTACATTAGCACATAGCACATTAACTGTCTGATTTTAACCATGGTTTATAGAACAAGCCACAACAGAGTCAACCTTATTTTAAAAACCACAATCATAAGTCAAAACAATGTGTGAAGCCAGCCTTGCATCAGAAATATGGGAGAGGAAGCCAATTTTTTTCTTCCATATGATGATGATTTTATCTATTTAGTCACATCTGACTTTTGACGATTCTATGGGCCTGGTCTTTTCACATCTTCTGACCTTGCACTACTTCTTTGAGTTGTTCCTGACATATATCACTTTATGAGCCTCTCTCACAGGTATCCCACATGAGAAGCAATGACTTTGTTAAGCTACTTTTATCTAATTTTTCCTCCCCCCCTCCCCCACCGCAAGCCACCTTTCTGGTCATGCTGCTAGGAATATGCAAAACCAATACATCTAGTGCAGGGGTGTCAAACTCACGTCGTCACTAAACCAGGTGTGGGAGTGGCCAGTATGTGATGCATAGTTTGACAGCCCTGATCTAGTGGGACTATTTTGGGAAAGAGAGATCTACTATAAAACAAGGATTGTCTGTTTCTTGTTCTCTAGGTTTCAAGAACTATCTTAGAGCTATTCTCTTACTGCTTCTTCACTAAGATAACCCTTATTTACCCCAGAAGAAAATGTCCATTTTCTAACCTGTAAAAACTCAAGCTCTAGTGTTGGCCATCTTTCTTCTGCCATAGTGATAAGGCTATCCAGGCAAGAAATTTCCTCTGAAATTGTGGCATTATGAACTTCCTGTTCCTTGACTGCTGTCTGGAGTGAGTGCCATTGGGCCAGCAGCAGTTGCTTCTGTTCCTCAAGGGATTGAAAAATCTCCTTAAAAGCCAAGGATGTTTTCTGAATCCCAGCACCGATTGTATTCTGCAATAAATTCCAGCAGGGAAACATGTTTACTGCTCTAAAAGACAGATTGAGGACAAATTCCAGTTTGCCAGTAGATAAATTGAAGAACCTACCATGGCTTCTGTATTCCTCGCTGCATTCATTGCCTGAAATTTAAGAAGTTTTTCTCTTTTTTTCTTCAAAAATATCAGTTGGTCCTGGAATTCTTGCTAAATAAAGAAAAACAGTATTCTGATTTATTACATTTTGTGGTCTTAGATACCTACAGAATGAACCTTTAACAAGCTCTTACCCTTCCTATGTGGAGCATCTTAATCCAGCTAATTATTCTTGAGATAAGTCTTCCATCTAGCACATTTAAGATTAAACCAATCACTAATGCAATGTATCTGCACTCCAGACTTAATTACTCTCAATGTTCAACTTTCAAGAATAATAGGAAATTATAAACTCATTAAGGCATAAATCATGAACTTTAACTATGAATAGCCAAGCCTGTTCTGAAGTTCAGTTCTTGAACTCCACCAGCCAGAATTGCCAACACTTGGGAGATTATCGAAGACCAAGAGCAACTGTGGGAAAATTTGGTCTACACTATCCCCAAACTAGAACCCCAAGATCACTTGAAGAAACTTTTGGCAGCAAAAATGATAATAAAACAAAAAAGGGCCTGCCCTGTTTTGCTGCAGATTACAAGCACAGGCTGTAGTTGCTTGTTTTGGCCTTTTAAAGTGTTTTCATACAGCATTAAACAGGCACTTGGCTAATTTTTTAGGTCTCTCATGTGTGAAAAAAACCACAGCACTGAGATCTCTAGTTAGACACAAAGAATATGTAAAAAAGGAAAACAGAGAATTCACTGTGCTCTATTTAACAGTCATGTGCCCCTTTCTTAGGGTGCTATATGTCCCTGCAAAAATAGGTCTTGTTTCTTGCTTTTTCTGCCACGTTCATATGTTGTGGCATTTGTCTGGTCTCCAATACGGTGTTAAGGCAACCTTAACATCCTCCTCAGCTCTTTCAATTTGAAAGTAATATTCTCCCTCTCCTGCCAACACAACTTTTGCCATGGATAATGTCTTCATCATTGAATCCCAAGGAGCTCACAGAATCTTTTCCAAGCAACATATTCTGTCAGCAGAGGAAGAGGATGGTGAAAGTCAGCTGGGCATGATGGGGCTGGCAGAGAGCAGAGTAGCAGGGGTTGGCTCTGGCAGTACTCGAGGTAAGGTAGAGGCCCTGAGGAACAGGTGTGGCAGCTGGCTGAGATTGCTGAAGAGCCTGGACCTTCAGTGCCAGTGTTGCCACCCCTCCAAGGAGTATCACTGTGCAGGATGGCCAAAATTAGAGAGATGCATGAGAGATAAGCAGGTGGAGAAAGTTGGTCATAACTAGAGGTGGACTGCCAAGCACCCAAAGTGAACAATGATCACATGACTGTTTAGCAGTCCGACCTCTGGCAATTATATAACATGGCAAGACAGTTCCTGCCTATTAACTTCATCACAAAAAGGGCTGTTTTGAGTCCTTCCCTCACCAAATTATCCCCTTGAGCGGCACTGACTATGTATCAGAATGGTCAAACAAATGGCAACTTTAAGTCTCAACAAATAAATGCTCTGTCTTACTTATTGGCAAAAAAAAAATCAGAAAATAAAATACAAGCTGAATAGTCAAGACCTTGTTGATGACCCAAGCTCTGTAAAGGACCTTGGAATACTCACCTCTAATGATCTAAGTGCTAGAGCCCACTGCAACTACATAGCCAAAAAGGCATTAAGAGTTGTTAACCTAATCCTACGTAGCTTTTTCTCTGGTAATATCACACTACTAACCAGAGCATACAAAACATTTGCTAGACCAATACTCGAATACAGTTCATCAGTCTGGAACCCTCATTACGTATCTGATATTAACACAATTGAGAAAGTCCAGAAATATTTCACAAGAAGAGTTCTCCACTCCTCTACTCGTTGTAGAATACCTTATGCCACCAGACTTGAAATTCTAGAACTAGAAAACCTTGAATTACGCCGTCTTCGGTCTGACTTAAGCATGGTATATAAAATCATACATTGCAATGTCCTACCTGTCAATGAATACTTCAGCTTCAACCATAACAACACAAGAGCACACAATAGATACAAACTCAAAGTAAACCGCACCAAACTTGATTGCAGGAAATACGACTTCAGCAATAGAGTGGTCAATGTCCGGAATACTCTACCCGACTCTGTAGTCTCTTCCCCAAACCCCAAAAACTTTAACCTTAGACTGTCTACTATTGACCTCACCCCTTTCCTAAGAGGTCTGTAGGAGGTGTGCATAAGCGCACAAACGTGCCTACTGTCCCTGTCCTATTGTTTCTTTTTTTCTTATTTGTACCCATTTCATGTATTCATAACCATGTTTATACTTATACCTGTTATCTAATAATCGCTTGACAAAATAAATAAACTGCCCAGTCACAGGTGAGATTATCAGTGTAGAAAGGTGATAAATAATAAATATACTGATTCCTCATTTACTAACTGCCAACCAGCCAACCAACCAACCAACCTCTATTTTTTTCCCAATCTGTAGAGAGCCACGAAGCTGGTATACCAAACATGTCAGACAACAAATGAATAATACATGAAAAAGTGGCCTACATTTTAGCCCTCACAGCAAGAAATATGCCGCTTAACATTGTTTGATCTTACCTCCACAGGAAACACCGTATGGTCCTTGTGCTCTTCCGATTTGTCACACACCACGCAGATCGCCATTTGATCATTTTTGCAAAAGAGTTTTAGTGGTTCCTGGTGCCTCTGGCATACCTTCTCTTTTTTCTTTTCTTTTTCTTTGGTTTTTTTGTCCAGGTTTGGGACAATTCTGGCAATGTTTCCCAGCTCTCGGTTGGGCTTTAGGATTCTTTTCCGGCTGGTTGCTCTACATTTAGGACAGTGGAAATGTTTTTTGTTCATGAAATCCCAGTGTTTAATAATGCAAGCTTGGCAGAAGGTGTGCCCACAGTGTATGGAGACTGGATCATGGAAACGATCTAAGCAAATGGAGCAGATCAGTTCTTCTTTAAGTCTTCTTGTCAATTCCTCTGTGGACATGATGGCTGTATGTGCAAATAGTTTCTTTCTTCCGCTGTTGCTAGATATCCCCCTGGGGAAACAGCGCTATGTTCTCACTGCTTTCTCTAAAAAAAAAAATTCCTCAAGATTTACACAAACAATAACAAGATTAACAAAACTTCTGAAGAGAGAGAAAAGTAGTTAAAGAATTAAAATCTGTCATGGAAAGTACAGAGCCATTTGTTTTGGGCTCAAACAAGAACCCAAAAAGAAATAATTGGACAGAACTAGCAGGAAGTGCTGGAAATGATGATTCATCTATCAGAAGTCAGGATGGGCCCAGCCTTATTCTATAAGAGGTTTTGTTGAGGCTAATTGGCAGAACTCCAGATTCCTGGCTAAAGAGGAAATATGAAAGGATTTAAGCCACTCCTCTAGTAATAAGGGTTTTAAGTAAATATTTAGCAAGACTAGAAGCAAATAAGACACATCAGAAAACTTTCAATATTCTGTTCACACTTCAAGATAAAGTTGGTCAGAGCTTGCTAAAGCTGCAGTTCAACATTTAGTGGGTACAACACAGAAACTTGAGTTTATTTTAAAACATAGTATTTTTATAATTAATCTATAACCAATCACATTAATAATTTTGTATATTCTTGAGGCTTGGCTATAAAGACACTGCTTCCTGTGTATCTTACCCATGGAGTAATTGCTTGAACGTATCAATCTGCTTGATCTGTCCTTGCAAAGCCTTTATTTATTTATAAATAACTCAAGGCAGCAAAAATACTTAACACTCTTTCCGCCCCTATTTTCCCCACAACCCTGTGAAGTAGATTGGGCTGAGAGAAAAGAGTAACTTACTGGCTCAAAATCACCGAATTTTTTTTTTAATTGAACAAAACAATTAAAAACATTGAACATAGGGAAGTCACTTTGACATAACTTTTGGTCAGTATTGCATAGATATATATTTTCCTATATACAATTATTTAAATTTACACCTATATACATTTATTCGCTCATATATTACATTTTCCAACATCATTGGTCCTCTTTTCATCTCATTCATTTACCCTCTCAGCAACTCCTTTCCCAACCTAAGACCTTCCTTTCTTCTCCCAGCAGTGATAGAATCTATCCCAAATTGTGTAAAATGCCGACTCATCTTTTTCATCTCTAAAGTTAGCTTGTCCATTTCGGTGCATATCAAGATTTTGTTTATTACTTCGCCTTTACTCAGTATGTCTGTCTCTTTCCAGTTCTGGGCAAATGCTATCCTTGCCGCAGTAATAATATGTATAATCAAATATAGCTCATCCTTATTGTATCTTTTTGACATGATTCCTAATAGAATGCATTCTGGTACATGATCTAATTTAAAACTCAACATTTCCTCCAACCACTTGAAATCGTCCAATTTGTTTTGAAGGCAGGACTAGAACTCACAGTCTCCTTGTTCTAAACCAGCATGTTAACCACTACACTAAACTGATAGACCAAATCTTGAAATATTGGGAGACTAAAGAACAATAGCATCCTGCTTCAGTAGCCAAAATGAAACCCAACGGGAGAAGGGAGAGAAAACCTGTAAATTGCAAATGGCCCCTGTGTTTCAGCAAGTGAACCAAAAGACAGAATAGCCCATGAAGATTACAGGCCTCTTCTTGCCCCCCTATTAGCACTGCTGAAGGAGGTCTCCCCCAGTCTCCCCTCCCACATTTAAGGAAGGAATGAAGGATCCTAGAATTAAGGAGAAATTTCCTAATAGTGACAACAATTAACCAGTGGAAGGGCTTGTCTTCAGAAGTTGTGGGTGCTCCATCACTGGAGGCTTTTAGGAACAAATTGGACTGCCAATAGTCTGAAATAATGTAGGGTTTCCTGCTTGTGCAGGCGGCTGGACTAGAAGACCTCCAAGGTCCCTTCCAACTCTATTACTCTGTTCTGAATGCAATTTGCCAGTCTCTTCACCACCACCACTCCATCCCCCATTTTCTAGCAGGCAGACGGGATGGAGGACGGGAACGCGCAGCCGCCTAACTGGGTAGCGGCTTGACGTCGACCAAGCTCTTCCTCCGGGGGTTCGCCTCACACAGAGGGGTCAGCCCACCCCAGACCTCCGCAGCGCGGCTGCTTCATTGGCGCTGCGAGCCCCTCGCACCGGCCGCGCAGAACCGAGGCGGCCGCTGCGAGAGTTTCCGCAAAGAGATGCTTTGCAGGCTTCGGGCCTTGTTCCAGACGTGCCTGATTGGACTCAAGGGGGGTCGATTGCAGCGGCTTGCGCCTTCTGCCACCTGGTGTCCCTCCCGCCCCAAACCACCCCGAATTTGGAACTCAGGGTAAATAGACGGACTGACCGAGCCCCCTTCGGCGGCAGCGCGGAGAAGGTGACGTTTCTCCGGCGGGCGGAGCGCGCCGATCAGAGCCATTCTTTCCGTAGCTCTGTTCATCCGCCAGCGCTATCGGTCCAGGCGATCCGGGACAAGGAGAGGGGAGCCCTCGGTCACCATGGAGAACCCGGTGGAAAGCCTGCACAAGGAAGCCACTTGCTCCGTGTGCCTGGAGTATTTCCGAGACCCGGTTTCCATTGCTTGCGGCCACAGTTTTTGCCGCGCCTGCATCACCCAGTGCTGGAAGGACCAGAGCACTAATTTCTCCTGTCCGCAATGCCGGGAAATTGCCCTGCAGAGGAATTTCAGACCCAACCGGGAGCTGGGAAACGTGGTGGAAATCACCAGGCGGCTGAGCTTGCACGGCTTGCAAGGGGCCGCCGGGCAAGAAGAAGGAGAGGAGAGGCCGCTGTGCGAAAAGCATCAGGAGGCGCTGAAGCTCTTTTGCAGCGAAGAAGAAAGCCTCATCTGTTGTATCTGCAGAGAGGCGCGGGCTCACCGGAGCCACACGGTCTTCCCCATCGAAGAGGCCGCCCAGGATTATAAGGTATCGGGAGGCGCGCACGCCCTCTGCCCCGCACAGGTTTACGCGCGCCTGCTCTCCTTCCGGGCATCTACAAGTCAGGTTTAAAATCCCCGGACAGAGGGAGGAACGCTGCCCCTCTTTCTCCTGTCTGCATCCTGACTCAATCCAAAGCATGTGTAGAACAACTCTTGTAATATTTTCACAGATAGGTTTGCTGCTTTCAGCGAAAAATACTGATGCATTTGATAATTATAGATGAAAAATTACAGGTAGACCTCTACTTATAACCATTTGTTTACATCCAGTAGCAGGCTGGCATTTAGATTTAGTTAGTAACCTCACTTGATTCACTGCAATAGTCAGCTATTGTTTCAGTTGCTTTTTCAGATAACCCCACCTTTTCGCCCTTGCCATTTCTTTCAAGCAGCCTCTCAAAGTTGTAGAAATACTTCCTACACTCTACTACCTAATTCCTGATGTGATGCATAATCTCAACCCTGTCAGGAGTGATTATCTAGTGGTCTCTGAGCCATCTATTAACCAAGTTTACCTTGCATAACATTTTCAGCCAGGTACTGCTAGGGAGAAATCTAGGGATGGGGACAATTAGAATAGAATAGAATAACAGAGTTGGAAGGGACCTTGGAGGTCTTCTAGTCCAACCCCCTGCCTAGGCAGGAAACCTTACACCCTATAATTAACTATAACCCTATATGATTAAACCTTATAATTAATTATAACTAAATATTTCAAATTCTCTTTAGAAAGAAATCGAATGCCGTCTGCAAAAACTGAAGGAAGAACTAGAGAAACTTCTACGACTAAAGCTGGCTGGAGAGGTTAGACATCAGGAATCTCTGGTTAGTATAGACTCTGTTGTCAGATTTCAGTGGCTTCCTGGGTGCTTAAATTCTCCCATTCCCCCTCAGCAAATGCTCTTTCTCTATTCTGCTTCTCTCTCTCCCATCCCAGAAGCTTGTTGTTGTGTTCTTATAACATGACATGTCTTTTCCCTTGAATTCTTTACATTTTTAAAAAGTTTTGATGGAAAGACACTAATTCCCACAATGGAAGAGTAGATGGTAAAGTTGGTGGAGTTAGCAGAGATGGAGAAATTGACTAATTAAAGAAAGCAGAGTACCTAGTTTTGTTTCTATTTGGTAACCACTTTTGGACTTTTTGCTTGAAACTGTAAAAAACATGAAACTTTGATTTTAGATTTTGAAATATAAAATATAAAGGAAATATAAAGGAAAAGTTGAAGTTGAATATTTTTGTAATCTCCTGCACAAAGGAAAGTTGGAAATCATTATTTTTTGCTTCTCTTTTTGCACTTTTCTCTTTCTTGTTTTTCTACCTTTTGCTTCTTCTATATTACAATGAAATTTAACAAAACATTTAAAAAGGAAACAGTGCAGGTAGCGGGAGTTTTGGGCTTTCTTCCATCCTGACTGTGACCTGGCCTGACCAGCTGCTTTGCACATCTTGGAAAGCTGGTTTTAAGACCCAATAATTCAGACCCTTGACTCTTATTTTAGGAAATTGCATCCAGACATTCAGTGACTGCTTATCTTCCAAAAGCCTTTCCTGGCCCTTTTTTTTTTCAAGTCCATCTCCCTATTATATTACAGAATCAAACAGACACTGAAAGGCAAAAAGTGGTGATGGAATTTGAGCAAATGCATCACTTTTTGGATGAACAAGAGAAGCTTCTGCTGGCTCAGCTGAAGGAGATGGAAAGGGAGATTGTCAAGCATCAGAAAATATATGACACAAAGGTTTCTGATGAAATTGTTGCTCTTACTATCCTGATCGATGAGGTAGAAGAGAAGCTCGAGCAGCCAGACAGTGAATTCCTTCAGGTGAGAGGAGTGACTTCAGAGGGGAACCTTGAAAAGAAGGTGTGCCAAATACATTGTGATGAAGCCTTTCATAGCTGCCCTGGGTGATGTGGGCGGGAGCCTCTTCACCGGAGGTGTTTAAACAGGCAGGGTGGCTGTAATTGCAGATGCCTACACTGAGATTGGTATTTGGCTAGATGATCTCAAACCCCCTTTTCAATCTATATATTCCATGATTCTATTATATAAAGAAGTAAATAAGAGAATTCCATTTGAAGGAATGGTGTTGATACAGGTTATGATTCTATTTGAAGAGGTTATTTCTCGGTTCCTACAGAAAAGTCCACAAAGGGAAATACTTTTGGAAATTAAAAAAAATCTATATTCTAAAAACATAGACAGAAATAGGCATTTGCATGACTATCCCATCTCCTACCTAACCACTCAAATCCCTAAGCAACAGAAATCGAATCTCTTTCTGTCTTGATTGCCATTTGGTGTATTTTTATCCCAAATCCTCATACAGCAATTTTTACCCCCCAAAAATCTGCTAACAATCCACAAGCAAAAGCTTTTAATTCTCTGTGTTTCTTTATAAATCTTCTTGGAGAGAATAAATTACAGAAACCCTATTGTATAATTCATTGCAAGTGTTACAGATGGAACTGGAGATTGTTTTTTTATTTCAAAATTTTTCCCGTCTGTTGACAATCAGTGTTAACCCATTGGAGATACTCTCTGGCGAAACATGGCTAGCATGCATGCTGCTTGGATATTTAAATGTGTAAAATCAATAATGTTGAATGAAAAAAGTTAGAACATGACTATTATTGAGATTAACTTTTGATGTTTCCCCTCATCCTTCTTTCCTGACCGGCAAAGCAGTACAATATTTTGTACTGATGCATTGTTGGGAGATCAAAATTGTATGCATTTAACATTTCATACCACCTGAAAACATACTATAGAAATAGCGAACAATATTGTTAGATATATTTTTTTGCTAAAATTTGCTCTGCAAGTCTCTCCATGATAACAAAACTTAGATCTGTGTATTGTCGTATGCTTTCATTCCGACTCATCCATTTTTCCAACGGGGGTCCTTTTCCTTATAATGATTATAGAGGGCAACCTAAAAGCAGTTGCACCAGTTTCTCAAATATACTTTCTCTGTTCTTCAGATATAGTGACTCTAATGAGAACCGAACTGTTATATTCATTGTCATGCAGAGTTCCTGTCTTTCTCTCCCCACCCACACTTCTCTTTCTCTAGGATATCAGAAGCACATTGTGCAGGTATGTGGCTCCGACACTCGCAACTAGAGGCACATTTTCCTCAAAGGTGGCCTTGCTTATTTTGGGGCAGATGCTTTGCCCTTGAAAGTGTTTGGCTTCTGCATTAGACTTTGACCTATGCAAGGGCTTTTCTTTACAGGCATGGTCATCAGCATTCCTGTGGTCCTTGACCAGCAGAAATCTATCTTGACCCACACACACACACCCCAATCCATCTCAGTGATGTGGTTGGTGGCTGTTGTTGCCCTTGAAGAGTTTTCACGTGGGACAATTTAAGGGGAAGTGATTGGTGAATTGTCCTGGTTTGATTTCTCCTCCCATGGAGTGTCCTTAGCCAGCAGGAAGATCAGCCACCACATCCTTAATATGTGATCAGCAGGCTTGGGCAGATTCCTGGTATAAAAGATTCAGCGGCTGAGGGATAGGCCATTGCAGTAGATTTTCTCTATGTATGTATCCTGTCACTTTCAGCTACTTCTGGTAGAGCACTAAACTGGTGTCCCAAAAATTCTCCAAAGCACCCGAGGGCAGGACAAGAAGTAATGGATGGAAACTACTGAAGGAGAGAAGCAACCTAGAACTAAGGAAAATTTCTGATAGTTAGAACAATTAATCAGTGGAACAATTTGTCTCCAGAAGTTGTAAATGCTCCAACACTGGAAGTTTTTAAGAAGAGATTGGATAACCATTTCTCTGAAGTGGTGTAGGGTTTCCTGCCTAAGCAGGGAGTTGGACTTGAAGACCTCAAACGTCCCTTCCAACTCTTCTATTCTATTCTATTCTATTCTATTCTATTCTATTCTATTCTATGCTATGCTATGCTATGCTATGCTATTCTATTCTATTCTATTCTATTCTATTCTATTCTATTATTCTATTCTATTCTATTCTATTCTATTCTATTCTATTCTATTCCTTTCCCTATTCTACTCTACTCTACTCTACTCTACTCTACTCTACTCTACTCTAAATTGCCTGATAGGTGGCACATGCACTGCAGGAGAGTGGGCATTAAGCGTGAATTTCCATTTTGTCCCAACCTCTCCCTTTTCCATATGACCTGGTACCCGGGCTATTGCTTGGATAATGGCTTAGCTGTCTTCTAGAAGAGCATTAGACCTATATTCAGAAGTAACCCACTAACAGGTCATGGGCCAAACAGTGGGACATGGGAGAGCATCAAAAAAGCAGCTTTTTGCTTTGATCCATGCCCTGTGCTGTGCATGCAGCCTGTCTGCCAGGTGAAGTAGCAGGGTGTAATCAGTAAGACGTGCAAAGGAAAGGGAGGTTGGCACCTGTCTATAGTCAGCAGCCCCTGCATTTCTGACCTGTCACTCAAGCTGACGGCAGAAATCTTTGACAATTTCACCCCCACTCCTACCAATGTCCCAAGTTAATAAGTGCCACAAGATAGTGCTGTATTGGCATCAAGAGACTGTATTATCAGCCCTCTGAAGTAGGCCATGGAGTTCCCTGTGCCACACATACAATAAAACTATAAAAAGCATGGCTGCATGCAATCCCTTGTCAGTAGTAGTAGAAAATCTGTAACACATTCATTTGGGATAAAACCAACAACAAACTGTTGGCAGAAAGCTACCCTTTTCCTTTAACTTAACCAATAGGCTAGTCCATTTTTTAAACTCAACTCTAACACTCAATATCAATAGTCTTTAAAACAGGATCCAGAACTCTTCTAGGAAAACACATTATTATAAAGTAAAAAGTTTCTATAAAGTTCAGTCAAACAGTAAGGGAGCAGATGCCTCTGTGGCTTCTGCCCTCTTCTATGCTGTGTGTCCCAAATGTCCATGAAGAGCAGTGGCCAGAGGGTATGTCTGCAGAAAGGCCAAGAGGAGCTAGGCAGATCCCAGCTCATGAGTCTACCATCACCAACATAATCCGTGAAGCCTTGGAGACTATTGCTATAGCAAGTCTTATACTGAAAAGAAGAAAACTAAAATGGGAACAGTTAAATAGGATATCAGCAAACTTCACGGTGGACTGAGATGAGATGAAGGCAGCAATGAGGATATGTCCTGAAAAAAGGGTTAGCAAAGCATCTTGGTGCAGGTACATAAACACGATTCCTCCTTCTCAGTTCTGACTACTGTAACTAGCAGAGATTCTCTTGATCAGCTACTAGTATTTTAAGAGCAGAGTCCAAAATAATCTGGGGGTTTGAACTTTCAAAGCACAAGTTCACATTCTCTCCCTTGACTCTGCACTTTTGAAGTTGGTATGGCTTTCCTATTTCTTTTCCCTGTGGTTCACCCAGGTCTGCTATCTCCATTGAAGGATGCCTTTTAGCTCCTCACAAAAGGAAGCTTTTATTACAATAACATGGGGGAAAAGATAACTAGAAACTAAGAGGTAGATAACCATGACCTCTACAGGATGGCATTTCACAAAATCCTTGTTAGACATTTCTAGTTGATAAACAGTACTCGGACACAGATGGGCAAACTTTGGAGAAAGGGAGGTTTTGTGGGTCATTTTGAGAGTATGTCCACACAGTTCCATCGATGTCCTGACCTAAGGGGTACTGTCACATGCACTTTAAATTTTATAAGTATCATCTTCTAGCAATGTTTCTCCCATGTAGAATAAACAGTCCAGATTTTTTGCAGAAGAATGAATAACATGCATGTTTGATTCCGGTGCACAAATCACTTCAAAATAATAATAGTAGTTCATTTTAGAATTGTTTTGGAACAAACTCTACAAGCATAATTGAGGAGGAGATTGTGGGTCACATATATCAAAACTTTTATAAGATCTTAGAAAGTCTCAACATACACAAATGTTTAACCCTTTGGGATAGTCAGTAAGGTATTTGTAACCTGCATCTGCATAACAACATTGTCTTCTCTTATCTTCCCTCTTCTTAATTTAGTTTAGCCCAGTGTTTCTCAACCTCCACAATTTAAAGATGTATGGGCTGCAACTCCCAGAATTTCTCACACATCTTAAAATTGCTAAGGTTGAGAAATACTAGTTTAGCCACTCCATGCACTGATGAAGTGAGTTGCATTCATGAAAGCTTCTGCTTTTTAATAAATGGTACTAGTCTGAAAAGTCACTGCCAGATTCCTGATTTTGGATTTAAAAAAAAAGTAATGGAAATATTTTGCCCTGGTAAAACAAGAAATGATAAAAAAAGAGATTGGCTAATTGGTAAAAATTATAAATAACAGCCAAATCCGACAAAAATTTGCCCTGATCTATATGGTGCCTCAAAATTCTACTATTGTAAAGCCAGTTTCAATAATGCATTGAATCTAGATTTACAGGTAATCCTCTATTTCCAACCAGTTGCTTAACAGCTGTAAAAAGGCATGATGAACTCCCCTCCCCCAAAAGCTATTTATGACTCAATTTTGAAGTACAATGGCTGCATACTCCATCCCCTTCAGTCATGGGATTGCATTGGGAGTTTGGCTACTGGCTCATCTGGATTGCTGTTTGTAGCATCCTGCAGTCATGTGACTGTGGTTTTTTTACCTTTTTGGCCAGTTTCTGGTGTTTACTTCCAGTTTCTGGGAAATAATGCTCGTTGGGTAAAATAGATTCACTTAATGACCATCGTATTTGCTTAATGACCATCACACAAAAAAAATCAAACCCAGTCACATGATGCCTTAACTTACAACCGCAACAACTTATGACCATAATTCCAGGCTTAATTATGGTTGTAAGTTGCGGACTCCCTGTAGTGATGCCTTAACAAATTCAATAAATAAATAAATGCACCGCCATTACTGGGATTCACATTAACCAAATCAGTGCGTCAAAAATTTGGGGTAGGGAGAAAATTGCTTGAAAAGGTAGCATATAAATCTTTAAATACTCTGGATCCAAACCAGTGATAGGGCAGTAAAAAAAAAAAAAAGGGAGAGAGGACAAACAATACATTGTTATGGGCATCAATGTAATTTATAATTCCAATTCCTTGGATATAGACTGCTGGTCATCCTAAACAAAAAGTATCAGTGGTGTTAAGTGATGGACAGCATCTGTTAATAAGGTGGGGCAGTTCATCTATTATAACACGGTTCACAGGTTTGCAGATCCTGCAGGCTTGCAAAAAAAAAAAGAGCATCATTATAGAATATTAAAAATATTAATACTGCTAGTAAAGCAGCTCGACTCCCTTCAGAAAAAGGTCTCTTTTTCTAAACGAGAGTCCTGCAACCTTTACTGACAATATTAACCATCTTAATCTCCCCAGACATCAGCACCTTGAGGGGGAAATGATCTGATCCTTCTTTTTCTAGGTTTGATAAGGAGCCCTTCCAAATTCCTGAGGGGATGCCAATCAAGATGGAAAAGAGACTAGAAGAGTTCTCGGAGAAAAATACGGTGCTTGCAGAAATGCTGAAGAATCTCAAAGGTACAAAAAAAAATCTGCTGTATGAATTATTATACTCAGCAGCAAAACAATGTTACATATGTAGGATTCCCCCAACCAGCTAGCTATGCCTTATTTAAGGGTTCTCCATGTTCCCTCCAGTTTTTCTGCCTTTTCTTCTGCTACCTTCAATTTCCTGGCATAGTCTATAACCTGGGATTTCTGATAGTCTTCTGATGACATACTGCCCCTGTATAAAGATCAGCCAAAGTCAACTAAATTGTAATTCAATTAAAAAAAGTATAAACAGGCTTCCCCCCCCCCTAAAAAATAACACCAAAATGAAATGCCTTCAGTGATTCATTGCAAGCATATGGAATTTAGTGCTCAAATTCTAACCATTCAAATTTTAACCATTTTGAATATTAACAGCTTCTTCAAAACAAAATGCCCTTTTTATCTTTTCTTTAGACACTCTTCCCTCAGAACTAGGAACCGAATGGGGTAAGTATGTGACATTTGAAATAAAGTTCGTTCATGCTTCTTTGGCTCTGCAAGGAAATGATGGTTATAGATAAGATTTGATATGTTAGCTACTTTAACGCAGCAGATTAAACTTGATGCTTTTATTTTGACTTAAGTTCTCATCATTTTGTCCGGGTGAATATTGCATGAACTTGGATATGATATAGGTTTACCTTCAATACAGGGAATCCCAGATCAGTCACAGGTGTTTAGCTGCTGTTACTTAATAGGATTATTTGCATTATTATTGTTTTGATAAAACAAATGCTTTCACTTCAATGGCTTCATTCATCCTTTCCCTCCTTCTCCCTGCAGTTAACATAACCCTTGACAAAGACACGGCAAACCCCCAAGTCATAATTTCTGAGGATCAAAAAAGTGCAAGATGGGATGTCACTCGGACTGATGTGCCACATAATCCTAAGCGATTCAAGTCCTCTTGCTGTGTGCTGGGTTGTGAAGGATTCACATCTGGGAGACACTATTGGGAAGTCAACGTGGAAGATGGAGGCATCTGGGCGATAGGAGTAGCCAGGGGCTCTGTGAGGAGGAAGATAGAACTTAAACTCACCCCAGAGGAAGGGATTTGGGCCTTGCAAGGAGATTTTGGCCAATACCAGGCTCTCACCTCACCTGTAACTGCTCTGCCGCTCCTTTGTACTCCCAGGAGAATCAGAGTGTTTCTGGACTATGAAAGGGGAGAAGTAGAATTCTTCAATGCCGACACAAAAGATTCCATCTTCCTTTTTCCCTCAGCATTGTTTGCTGGCGAGAGGATATTCCCCTTTTTTAAGGTGTTGCTTGCTCAGCTGACTCTGGATGGCTGAAGAGCTTCCTTTGAGGAAGATGCACCCGCATTATATCAAGTTTGAATTCAAGAGGGGTTTAAAAGAATTATGCATGTTGAATCAAGTTCTGGTCTGCATTAATAGCTGCAAGTACTGAAAAGTGGAAGTGGTTCTCCAGATGTAGTTAGCATAGATCAGTGAGATGAAGTATTGTGTATATGACACCGGATGTGGATGATGTCTGCATTGTAATCTGGAGGTGGATTAGAATAACTGGTTTTAATTATACGGTAGCCTGTAAAGTTGTGTAGTCTTGTCCCTTCATCAGTTCCTTGTCTGTTGTGATAGGTCTTTATCTTTTTGTCAAAGATGGCATAAGCATTACCTGATGCCTTTGGATCTGTGACTGAAAAACAAAGTGAAAATAATAAAGGGAGTTAAATCAAGTGGAACAAGTGCTTTACATAAGGTTTCAACATACTTGACTATCTGATTCTAATGATAAAAACTCATGTTTATTCTGATTGATGACTATAACAGTTGCCTCTGCTAATTATTGATTTGATTTTGTTAAATTAGCATCAATATAAGATTATCTTAAAATATGTTAGTACTAATCTAATTTGAAAATTCATGTGCAGTTTCACACAGCTTGTAAATGTTTTTTATTTCATTCGTTTTCTGGTTGTCCTTTTACAAATATGTTAAAATAAAACAAACATTACAAAAGCAGCTTCTTCAATATTTGTACTCCTGTAATAGGAGATCTGGTGTTTGTGACAAATTTGGAGGAATAAACTACAAATGTCTTTTCTGTGGCAAAGCAAGACTTCCTTTGTGAACTTTTCACTGATCGTTGACTTTCACTACAAAATCATAAACATCACTTGCATTCAACTAGTAGTGCCATTAGCAGAGAACATATTTACAATCATGCAAATAAGCACATGTATATAGGCAACAAAAAATGAAACCTTTTTTTGAAGGGCCATTTGGAAAAGAGGGCTTTTACATAACATGGCAGTTAATATCTATGTTATATTGTTTATGTGCCATCTGGTTTTTTCATATGCTAATGATCACATAGATTTCTCCATGATAATATTTTCTATCTATATGGTTTTCTTGGTAAAAATAAAGGAATGGTTTACCACGGCCTTCTCTCACACTGCATGAATGGATGGCTTTGTCACTATCACTGCCCGTGGTCATTTGTGTGCTGCTGCCCAGTTACAGCCACCTGCTTGCTCAGCTGGGCAGCTTGGATGAGCTTCACACCTTAGAGTGACCCTACTGAGGATGAAGACTCTTAGCATATACTCCCTTAAGTTCTTCACTCATCACTCCCAGGGATGCTTCCTACTCCAGCCGCAATGAGGCAGCACATCATAACTTGGAGCAATTGTTTTATGAAAATGTGCCATCCCTTTGTCCAAGCTACTTTGGATGCAGTGCGCTGCAGTTCTCTAAATATCCTCCCTTGTTTCTGCAGATCTGGTTTGGTGGTGATGGTGTATGAAAAACCTTATAAACGAATACACCTTTTCCTCTGCACTGTACGCTCGTGC